GTAATCAAATCAGTATGCTACTGGCACAAATACAGGCACATAGGTCAATGGAACAAGAGAGAGAGCCCTGAAATGAATCCACACTACTATGGTCAATTAGTCCATGACAAAGGAAGCAAGAATATACAATGGGGAAAAGCAGTCTCTTCAATAAATGGTGCTGGGAAAACTGGACAGCTACATGCAAAAGAAGTAAACTGGACCACTTTCTCATACCATACATAAAAACACATTCAAAATGGGGTTAAAGAACTAAACTTGAGTCCAGAAACCATAAAACTCCTGGAAGAAAATATAAGCAGTAATCTCTTTGCCGTTGGCCTTAGCAACATTTTTCTATAGATGTCTCTTCCCGCAAGGGAAACAAAAGCAAAAATAAACTATTAGGAATACACCAAAATAAAAGGCTTTTGTGCAGCAAAGGAAACCATCAACAAACCAAAAAGGCAACCTAGTGATTATGATATTTGCAAATGCCATGTCCAAAAGAGGTTAATATCCAAAATATGTAAAGAACTTAGACAACGCAACACCAAAAATCCTCATACAATCTGATTAAGTAGTGGGCAGAAGACCTGAATAGACATTTCTCCAAAGAAGACATACAGATGGCCAACAGATACATGAGAAATTTCTCAGTGTCACTAATCTTTAGGAAAATGCAAATCAAATAATGAGGTATCACAACTGTCAGAATGTCTAGAATCAAAAAGACAAAATATAGCAAATGTTAGTAAAGATGTATAGAAAAAGAAACTTTTGTGCTTTGCTGATGGGAATGTAATTTGATGTAGCCACTATAGAAAATGGCATGGAACTTCCTCAAAAAGTTAAAATAAAAATACCTTAGGATCCAGTAATTCACCCACTTGATATTTACCCAAAGAAAATACAAGACTAACTTGAGAAAAAGATATGTACTTCTACATTTACTGCAGCATTGCTAACAACAGCCAAGATATGGGAGCAACCCAAACGTCCATCAGTAGAGGAAGAGATTAAGAATGGTGTGTATGTAATGGACTAATACTCAACCATACAAAAATGAGATCTTGCCGGGTCTCCTGGGTGGCTCAGTGGGTTAAGCCTACGACTTTGGCTCAGGTCATGACCTCACAGCATATGAGTTCAAGCCCCGCGTTGGGCTCTGTGCTGACAGCTCAGAGCCTGGAGCTGCTTTAGATTCTGTGTCTCCCTCTCTCTCTGCCCCTCCCTCACTTGTGTGCACGCACTGTCTTTCTCAAAAATAAACATTAAAAAAAAAATGAGATCTTGCCATTTGAGACAACATGGATGGATCTGATCTGGGGGTATTATGTTAAATGAAATAAGAGAAAGTACCATATGATTGCACTTATTTTGTCAAACCTAAAAAGCAAAACAAAAGCAGAAACAGACCCATAAATACAGAGAACTAATGACTGCTAGAAGGATGGGAAATGGAAAAATGGAGTAGAGTAGAAGATACAGGCTTCCAGTTATGGAACAAATAAGGCACAGGGATGAAAGGTACAGCTTACCGAATATAGTCAATAGAATTGTAATCATTTGCATGGTGACAGATGGTACCTGCACTTATAGTAAACATAGCATAACATATAGAGTTGTTAAATCACTATGTTGTACACCTGAAACTAATATAACATTGTATGTCAACTCTATTTTGATTTTAAAATATTCTTAATTAAAAATGAATTATGGATATATATTTTCATTTGAATTTATTTATAACTTAAGTATGTCCCCAAACCTTATAATAATTCAAAGATTGGTTTTGGTGGGTCTTAATTTTTTTAATATTGCATGTTAACATGAAATGTATCTCTTCCTCAGATTTTCAGAGTCAACATAAAGTAGTTCTGCATCATTTTGTTAAAATGTGGGTGCTGGTTTTAAAATGGCCTTGTCAAGTTTTCTGATTACTTTCTTTCACATTTGATATTAAACTCATTTTCTCGAGACATCTATTGTGTCATTATTTTTGTTCATTTTATTAACAGGTCCCACTCTTCTAGAACCGTACTTTTTAGTGGCTTTGTGATGTAAGCAAATCTCCAAGAATATTTTCTTAAATTCAACATCTTCATAAATTTTGATATTTTCCTTTACTTTGGTGTTTGGGTTAAGCTAAGCCCATCAAGTAGGACATTGTCTGAATGAGGCAGATAAGAATACTAGTGAAAAATACTAGTTTGAGTAGACACTAGTTATTTAATTTGTTCATTTAAATATTTTAATTTTTCATTCCCTACAACTTAACTTTGAAGATTTAAGTAATAGCAAAAATAATTCCTTATAGTTTTTATTTATAATATTTAATCCTGATCCTATGGATGTAAAGGAAACCAAGATAAGTCAACTTTCTTCCAGGAAAGTAACAAAGGTGTGAAAGGTTTCTATACTACTCAGCTATCTAGAATTTGCCTATGTTGGGGCACCTGGGTGGCTCAGTCAGTTAAGCATCTGACTTCACCTCAGGCTGTGATATGCCTTGGGAATTCAAGTTTTTTGCCAGGCTCTATGCTGATAGCTTAGATCCTGGAGCCTGCTTTGGATTCTATGTTTCCCTCTCTGTCCCTCCCCTACTCACACTCTGTCTCTCTCACTCTCTCAAAACTAAATAAACATTAAAAATTTTTTTAAAAAGAAGAATTTGCCTATGTTATTAATCATCTGAAAGAAAGTGAAAGCCATGTCTTGGTTTGGAAACCCATACTCCTGAGCCAGAAGTAGGAGCCCTAGCCCCGCCCTCTCTCAATTCCAGTTAAAGGGGTCAATCAGCAACTTGGCTTCTCAGCAAAAACATCACAAATACACACAAATACAAACATCACAAAAACATCACACCTTCTAATAAAATGATAATTAACCAGATGCCAAATATCTACACAACTGAGGAAAATCCTTTCTGTTTTCTTTTGTAATGATTCTTACTGGTACTGGGATTCTTAAATATTAAAGGAACAAAAGCCACAAATTTAAAGTTGGTTCATCCATAGACCTGAACCCATTATGTCATGGTATTTTTTTATGTTTATTTTTGAGACACGCACACAGAGAGAGAGAGAGAGTGAAAGCAGGATTGAGGCAGAGGGAGAGGGAGACATAGACTCTGAAGCAAGCTCCAGGCTCTGAGCCATCAGCACAGAGCCCTACTCAGGGCTCAATCCCACCAGCCATGAAATCATGACCTGAGCTGAAGTGAGATGCCCAACCAACTGAACCACGCAGGCAGCCCCCCCCCTTTTTTTTTTGTTTAATTTCATGGTATTTTTTTAATCCACTCAGAACTTTCCAAATAAACTGGTTGCTATGAATAATTTGCTTGAATACTTGTTCAGTAATTCCTGTTTGCAAGGGTCACACTCCTACCTCTCTCCCTTTCAGCTTGCTATGTCACACTCAGGATTTTGTAAATAGCACAATAAATGGAAGGTAACTCCTGCTAGAAAAATCAAGGCATTGAACGGCTGTGGCAGAAGTGGAGATAAGTCTCTCTCAAATGTCAGAGTTCTTGTGTGCAAGTCTTGTCTCTATCCTAATTAAATTACAAGTGAAGGTGTTTCTGACTCACGGGACATCTGCCTCCTAGCTGACAAGAGCCCTCTTTTCACTACAGGGTAGAGGGTGGAGGAGATTGGGTCTTGACTTGCCTCTATCAGGCCTCAAGAAAAACTAACAGGGTAAAATAGCATCCATCTTTTCAGTTCATGAAATGAATACCCTTATCTGAAAAGTTATGTTCAGGAAAAATCTGTTAAAATATCTTCAAGTTAGAGCATTACTACAGTTTTTGAGCGGGTCTTTAGTTATGTTGACAGTGAGACTTATTCAAGGATTTCAAATGTATTCATCATTGCAAATTTAATAATTATAGCAATTGCGTAAAGATAATAACTGTAACAATGAACACTTTGGTATATAATAAAACCTTAATAACTCAAGAACAATTGATGCAAAGCATCTTACAAAATCTTTAACTCAGGGGCACCTGGTTGGTTCAGTAGGTTAAGCATCTGACCCTTGGTTTCAGATCAGGTCAAGGTTTTGTGGACCATGAGTTCAAGCCCCACATTGGGCTCTGTGCTGACAGCATGGAGTCTGCTTGAGATTCTCTCTCTCTCTTCCTCTCTCTGCCCCTCCTTTGCTGTCTCTCAAAATAAACTTAAAAAAAAAAATATGTTAAGTAAATTGTTTTAAAGTAAAAATTTATAAAAAATAAAAATGTACAAAATGTCAAAAAGCAGACCAATCTGATTTGGTTTAATTATATGTAACAATAAAAATCTTGACACCTAAATGTTTTATGTAAATACAGAAGCAGCTTTAGCAAGACCTAAAGCAGTAGTCCACACCTAGTTTCTTTGCAGAATTGTTTATACTGATCAACTTACTGTACACTTCTAAAACAAACTTCAGTCAGTTATTTTCAATACTAATCTTCTAATATACACTTTTCAGTGCTAATCAACCTAATGGAAGGAAAGCATTCACCTGAGATGAAAAAAATATGCAACCCACTTCCTTACTATGTCACTTAAAAGTTGTTCAACTCACCTATCCAAAATCTCCATTCTTCTAAACGGAGGAGTTTGTAATTTGGAGTCATTAGCATCACAATCTAGGATATTTCCATGTCAGAATCAGTGGGATCTAAAATCATTTGTTAACCAATGGTGCAAATACAACTGCAGAGAAACTTCTACCACGTGTGTAAGATAGACTTAAAAAGTGATCTTTACTAAAAGCACTTTTTAGGAGAAGGTCTTCACTGTGTTTCCACAATAAGAGGTGATTGGCTGCACAAGGAATCTGAGAATACTCAGCTGCTCATTTCACATCATGTTGCTTTTTGCTTTTTCTATGAACTGATATATTTGATTAAAGGTATCAGCAGCTTCTCACCAAAGAGTAAGTGAATTAAGTCAGTAATTTAGTGCTCATGTCCAAAGTACCAGAACAAAAATTGTTCATGTTAATTTTGTGATTATGTTGTCTAGGACCCACCGATCTCAGCATGAAGAGGCAGTTGGCGACTAGCTCAGGATCCTCCAGCAGTTCAAGCTCCAGACCCCAGCTGAGTCCAACTGAAATCAATGCCGTGAGACAGCTGGTCGCAGGATATCGAGAATCAGCTGCATTTTTATTGCGTTCTGCAGATGAACTGGAAAATCTTATTTTACAACAGAACTGAGTCAAATGACGATCCTATTCACTGAGGTCTAAGTTTGCAGTTTCCACTAATGACATTTTGATTTCCCAACAGAGATGCTTCTGGTCTTACTGCACAGTCTTAAGAGAAATACTTCCATTATGCCACATTGTCCTTGATCCATAAAGTGATATACTAAGGTGCTTCAAAGGAACTCTGACCTCTGAAGTACTTGAGATACAGTAATGTGTCCAGCCCACTGCTTTTTGTTTTAGTATGTCAGCATAAGTATCAGGGGCAAATAAAGGCTGTATATTCCTAATTCAAGGATAAAACAGAAGAAGCTTGTGGTATAAATAGTTCAAGGTCCAACAGAAATATTAGTGGAATTTGCTACTGACTTATTGAACTGAAAGCTGCAGTGTCTGGCAAAAAAAAAAAAAAAAAAAAAAAAAAAAAAAATTTCTTGTTGCTACAGGATATAACAACAATGAGAAGGATCTTGTATTTTAAAAAAATATATATGTAGTTTTTATAAAAAGAAAACTTGTTTTTCATTCAAAATTGTCATTTTTACTTTGGTAACTTTTTCATAGGTCCTAAAAAAAACTGTTTTGAGAAACTACTCTAAGTACCTTTTCCACATCCCTTTGCCTTCTCCTCTTTCCAAATTCTTTCTACAAAAATGACGATGCTGGAAACAAATCCTTGCTACGTTCTTTAAATCGTCACATCAGGAACCACTTCCAAGAGAAGCCTGCATTTCTGCACTCATGCTCATCAACCCACTCAACCTTGCAGTTGCGCCATTGTGGTTTTCATCACAGAATTTTTTAATATTAAAAAAAGACATATCATTGAAAAAAAATATCACACCTTGGTTCCTTACAGCTGCTCGCCCCGGACTGACGCTGCTCTTACAGGCATGCCTCCAGCAGCAAGTGGACGTAGATGGCTGAATGTTAAGAGGTTGCAAGTGACAATCTGAAAATTTGCACTCATGTGGTTTTTCTTTCTCGGTTTCAGACATAGTTTCCAAAAAAGACAATTCCCTCTCCTCATAGGATTTGTATAATTTATAGTTCTAGGTAAAAATGATGTAAAGAACTCTCAGTGGATGCAGCTGCAACTTTTAATGAACTGCCCCCTTCTTCCTTCCTCCCCCCAACTTTGTCTTTTTTTCTTACTTTATAGTGTTGGATACACATGAATGGTGTTTTCTTTGTGCACTGAGGCAAGCCTATTTTTTAAATATTTAGGGAGGAGTACATCCGTTTATGCTTCTTGTACGATTCTTTTTCTGTTGTTTAGCTTTGGTTGGATTACAGATTCTTTGTGCATTTCTGGATTTGCCTTATTTCATGTAAAACTATGTCATTCTGTTTTTGATAATGAGTTTAAGGCATCAGTGATATTTCTTATCTACTTGTTACATATAGTTTTTCAAGTAATGACTGTGATTGTGACCAAGTAATGTGCACTTTTTCTTGTAACTGGACATTGCTATGCTTTTTTCTTCTAGTGTTTCTAGAATTACTGTTCCTTACAGTTACGTAAACAAAACAAAAACAAAAAAAGAACTTTTGTGATACTGTTGGTGAATATAATGTGAAAATCTTATTGAAATATGAGTATTTTGGAAATACATAGATGCACAAACATCTTTTAAGGTGTGGATTTAGAGTTTGCTTATTTAAATGAAAATTCAAAAATCGAGGGCTGGTATAATTTTCTCTGTTTTGTTTGGTTTAATAAACAGATTTCTGTGTTAAAACAACAATTGTGAAAAATTACCAACTTTCTGAATGATCCAATACTTTTAGCAGGTTGCTTTTAAAATATGCAGTGCTGTTTTGTACCTAACATTTAGCACAAAAAGGACAGTTTAATCTTGTATCATAAGATTACCCCCAAATCCCCTGGAGTCTCAAAATGGTCTAATGAAGAGTTTATTCTAAGATAGGATAAAGCAAAGTATCAATCCAAGAATACTTCACATGATTATTTAAATCTAAGAATTTTTTAATTATTATTTATGTTTTTATTATTGGGGTGCCTGGGTGGTTCAGTTGGTTAAACATCCTACTCTTGATTTTGGCTAAGGTCATGATCTCAGTTACTGGGATCAATCCCTGCATTGGGATTCTCTGTCACATAATCCCTGCTTGGGATTCTCTCTCTGCCCTTCTCCTGCTCTCTCTAAAAATAAATACTTTTTTAAAAAAATGTTTATTTTTATGATATTGAAGGAGTTCAAGTGGGGGAGGGGGAGCAGGGCAGAGGGAGAGGGAGACAAAGAATCTTAAGCAGATTCCACACACAGCACAGAGCCAGGAGATCATGACCTGAACTGAAATCAAGAGTCAGATGCTTTACCCACCCGAGCCACCCACGCGCCCCAAGTATTTATTTTTTATTCCTCATGAGGCATCTGGCTCTTTCAGTCACTCCTGATTTAACAATTTAGGAGAAACATTTGCCTGCGTGAGGTGCCTGTCTCCTGCTTCGGGTTTTGTTGCAATTGTCTGAAGACTTTGACATGGTTACTGTTTCACAAAGTAACAGGTTTGAGTTCAGCGCACACATAAAACAACCTTGATGGTGATTCATGAAGCAAACAGAGTAGAGAAGGGAAGTTTCAACAAGGTGCTCTTGTTTTCATTACATTTCCCCCTTCAATTTTAACTCCCAGGCCTGCCCATCAAAAACTAGTGTCCCCAAAAGTTTCTGCTTTTTGAGCATTTATCCCACAGAACGAGAGTGCTGGGACTCCCATCATTTCTCTTGAAGAGCCCAGAGGCCAAAGTCAAGTACTGTTTTTCCTTTTCCTTTAAGACTTGTACCTAAAAACACCCTGCTCCTCATTTATACTCAGTCACAGGAGAATAAAGAGATCACACCCCCATTATGAAGCATTTTGGGAAACGAGTTCATATTCTCATTCGACTGAGGTGATAGAAAACTATGATCATAGACACAGGTCAAACACAAGTTTCCGCCACTTCTGCCAGTTAGTTCCCATACAACAGCAGTTCCTTGTTACGTGTGTGTTGTTTTTTAAAACCCCTAAGAAAACATGCCTTGAAATGATCAGCAAACACAAGGAGTTGCTGAATTTTCTTAAATTGTGCAGCTCAGGAGCACCTGAGTGGCTCAGTTGGTTGAGCTTCTGACTTTGTCTCAGGTCATGATCACACAGTTCATGGGTTTGAGCCCCACATTGGGCTCTGTGTTAACAGCTAGCTCAGAGCCTGGAGCCTGTCTTCAGAATCTGTATCTCCCTCCCTCTCTGACCCTCCCCTGCTCACACTGTCCCTCTCCCTCTCTCTCCTTCTCTTTCTCTCGGAAATAAAAGACATTTAAAGCAAAATTGTGCAGTTCAAGCAACATTTAGTAAAAAGGGCATTCAGATAGAAAGATAGCCACTACTTACTGATTGTTAATACAGTGAGGGGCGTTTTGTTTCCTTTCCTTCTCACAATCACAGCTGATGATGAGGACAGACACAGTCCCTTTTACAAAAGAAGCTCAAGAAGTTGAACTAACTCGCCAGGAGCACAGACACAAGTGAAGGCTGCAGCTGTCATCGGAACCCAGGCAGACCGGAGGCCAGAGCTCTATGCTTGGTCACTGCAGTCTGCTGGGTCTGTGGCCTCCCAGGTACTGAATGATTGCATTTAACCCTGTGACTTGGAACCAGGTCTTTGTATTAAAGTTTACCAGTTTTGTGTGGTAAATAATAGTTAGTTACTAAATATGCTCTTGACATCAAATAAAGCATTTGACTTAGCACTGGGAGTTTTATCCTGCTTAGAGAGGTTTAATTTCCTTTAAGCTATGCTCTCTGTAAATATAGAAAGCAACAGTAAAACCCACCACCAGTGAAAATCAAACACACGAAGCAAGAAGGGAAGACAGTGGCTTTTTAACAATGATGGTGCCAGTAGTAAATCTGGTAAGGAAAGATGAAAGGCATTATCCATCTAAACCCGTAACAGTTAAGTTCATTCACCTGAGATTTTGGCCTTAGATACTACACCTAGATAGTTGGTTATTCTGCTACTGTAATTAATCTTTACACCATCATTATAAATATTCAGAGATTAATCTTTGTATGCCAGAAAATATTTTTTAATTTCATATTGCTCAGGTTTCAAACTTTGGTTCATAAAAAAAATTCAAAAATAAAGCAGGGACCTGCATTAACGTATTTTCAATGTGTTTGAGATGCAGAGTATTCGCAAAGTAGGGATTGAGAGCAAGCTAACCTCCAGGAATTTACTGTATTAATTGGAGCCATCTCCACTCCTAAAGATTTTGAAGGGAGATAAAATGCTATGAGTAACCCATCTCCAGTGTTAAAGTCAGTCATGTTCAACATTTAATTTTGTTTTCTGTTTACAAAAGAAACTTGGGAAATACAGAAACAAGACAGAAGTAATAATCCATAGAAAACCATGAGTAACATTTTGTAGCCTTTCAAAATTTACCTCAACAGATAAATATTTGCATGTGATTTTCCTGTCATATAGGGTTTTCTCAGCTCCTTTTCTAACCTCATAAAATACCATGATTATTTTCCATATTACATGTTCTTTAGTATTACTTTTTAATGACTATGTAGTATCACATTGTCTGAACATACCTGTATTAGTGTTCTGTTGCTGCTGTAACAAATTACCAAAGACAACAGAAATGTACAACAGTCCAGTAGATTTTAGTCCATGAGACTTCCAACCTAAGTTTCAGTAAAAGTTTTCCTCTCTAGAGGCTCTTGAGGAGAATGTTGCCTTGTCTGCTCTGCTTCTAAGGGAACTCGTTGACTGGTGGCTGCTTCTTGCATCTTTGAATATAACTGACTTCTCTTGCCTTCTCCTTCCACACTTAAGGACCCTTGTGAGTACCTTGGGAGCACATGGATCAAACAGGGTAATCTCTTTGTAGTAAGGTCAGCTAATTAGCAACCCTAAAATCCTCTCCCAACTTAATTCCTTAATTTGACACACACAACCACACATTGACAGGTTTTAGTGATTAGAATGTGAACATCTTTGGGGACATTATTCCAACTATAGTACCTTAATTTCTGTTTAAAAACACCTCTCTGTGCCCAGATACTACAGACACATTTTCCAATCACTTGTAGTAAAGATCCTAAGTGAGCAGCACAAACATTTTTCAAATAATTGTCAGCTTCTGTACCACACTTCCCCCCCCCCCTTCCCCATATAAAGGATATAGTCTTGGAAATTTTAATGGAATTTTCCTCAGATGTCTCACATTCAAACTAAATGTAACAATATGGTAATATGGTAAAAGTACTGCTAAATTTTCCAAGGGAATAAAACAAAAATACCTCTGAATCCTTTCTTCCACTTTGATTTCTGAGAAGTTGATTCCACTCAAGAAATTCCTTGATATGTGTTT